GTGGGGCAAACCCCCATGTGGGCCTTTGAGAAGCACAAGTCTTCTGCAGCTGACAAGCCCTGCCACCCACAGGTCCACACACACAGTCAACACAGTCCTGCCCCGTGTGCGTGCCCTGACCTCTTGAAGTGGACCCACTCTCCACAGCAGCAGGCTCACACACTCTACCACCACCCCACTCTCTCCACTCGCTCCTTGTGCACGCCCTGCCCCACTGAATTGGGCTCAGTTTCCAGGCTTCAAAGAATCCAGTCACCAATCTAGGCAGGCCCACATGTTGCCTGAGGGCTTGTTGTTGGGTGGGGCCAGTCTCTAAGGTGGGCTGCCTGCCTTGGCTATCTGGATTAAATTGGTGCTCTAGTGGGTGGGGCTGACCTGGGCTAGCAGACCCCAGGGAGAACTCCAATGGCGTCTCCGTCAGCATGCACACAACAGGCCACAACTATGGCCGCCACCAATGTCCCATTCCCTGGAGAGGTCTCACCTCTCACTGCAATGCACTCCGAGCCTATCAGGTGAGTTTCTTTTCACCAAAGCACAGTTCACCTTTCTTTCTGGTGATTTTATGTTGCTTTCTGAAACAGGTGTGTTTGAGCATGGGCCCTTTAAGAGCCAGTTTTAATTTATTTGTGAGCCAGCTTTTCTGGGGGTACTCTCCAATGTTTTAGTAGCAGGCAAAGTCAGATATTATGCCACTAGTCTCAATTGTGCTGGGTCCACAGAATGCCCACAGTGGTGCTCTCCCTGGCTCAGGCCCCCGCTCCTCCACGGACAGCTGCGTACCTTTGGGCTGCTCCCCATCAGCCGAGAGTTGCTGCAGCTTGTGAAAGCGGCGTTTCTCCTCTCCAGAAGGGAGTTTCTGCCTCTTTCACCTCAATAAGGATTGTCTTTTGTTGCAAGGGTTCCTCTTATCCAGTTTTCAGATCTGTCTGAGGGGTAATTTTTCCATGAGTATTTGCAAATTGGCTGTGTCCATGGGAAGAGGTGAGCTCGGAGTCTTCTTATACTGCCATCTTGACTTCTCTTCCATTTGTATGTCTTCATTGGAAAATGTTTATTCATGTCTTTTGCTCATTTTTAATGAGATTACAGTATTACCTCCTTATCCATGGGAAATACACTCCAAGACTGCCAGTGAATACCTGAAACTGCGTATAGTACTGATCCCTATGTATACTATGTTTTTTACTATACATACATAACTATAATGGAGTTTAATTTATAAATTAGGCATTTTAAGAGATTAACAATAACTATTAATAAAATAGAACATTATAACAATATACTGTAATAAAAATTATGTGAATGTGGTCTCTCTCTCTCTTTCTATCAAAATACCTTATTGTATGAATGTAATGCCTTTTCCATCTTAACTAAGCACTTATCCCACACCATAGCTGTAACTTTTGCATTTTGAGGTGTGACAGGAAAACTAGCAGAAATTTCTTTTCCCTTCTTCAGAATTTCACAGATAGGAGATTTGTTCTTGCCATAGATCTTAGCAACCTCAGCCTACTATTTTTTTTTTCTTTCAAGTCGAGAACTTTCACCTTTTCACCTAAAGGAAGCACTTATGACTTATCTTTGGTGTATCCAAATTGCCAACATCACTACTCTTGTACTTTGGAGCCATTATTTAGTAAAATAAGTGTTGCTTGAACATAAGCACTGAGATACTGTGACAGTCGTTCTGATAACTGAGACAGCTATTAAGCAAATAACAGACAGGTTATGCATACAGCATGGATACACTAGGCAGGATGATTTACATCCCAAGTGAGATGGAATGAGATGGCGTGAGATTTCATCATGTTACTCGGAACAGTGCACAATTTAAAATTATGAGTTTTTTATTTCTGGGATATTCCATTTAATATTTTTGGACTGTGATTGATCATGGGTAACTGAAACCACAGAAAGTGAAACTGTGGATAAGGAAGGACTACCGTATTTGTTTTATTGCTATTGAGTTTCACGTTTTATTATATATTTTGGATATTAACTCCTCATTGGATATATGGTTTGCAAATATTTTCTCCCATTTCATTTTGTGAATCATTTCCTTTGCTGTGCAGAATCTTTTTAGTTTGATCTAGTACTGTTTGGGAACGTCATCAAGAAAATGTGACTGCCAGTTTGACCCAAGAGCTGGGCCCAGGGAACTGGAGGCTCCTCTCCCCCTCCCCTGTCCTTGGAATGTGTGCTCTGCTTGCCTTCCCTCCGCTACCAGCTTTCCATGGGCACAGTCTTGAGATAGTAATGTGGTGTTGAGACCATGTGGACTGGGTACATGACTGAACCCAGTTAAGGTCCCCCGTGTACATGACTGAACCCAGTTAAGGCTTCTATATAAACTTTTAAAATTTGGCAGGCAGGTGCAGATAATTACTCATCTTGTGGCAGCCTAAGACAACCTGTCTAAGTAAGTTCCTTTGCTTATTAAACTTGCCACCTGCCAACCACCTGGAGTCGTCTACTTTTTTCTTCAGTCTCTCCTTGCCTTCCATGTACAAAGGCCAGTTTCAGATTACACCCAGGAAGCTCCCAGGACAGTTGTGTACCAACAAGGCCTACTTGTTTATTTTTGCTTTTATTGCTTGTGCTTTCGGTGTCATATTCAAAAAGTATTGCCAAGAACAATGTCAAGCTGTTTTTTCCCTGTATTTTCTTCTAGGGATTTTATGGTTTCAGGTCTTACATTTAAGTTTTTAATCCATTTTTAATTAATTTTTATAAGTGGTGTAAAACAGTGGTCCAATTTCATTTTTTTCCATGTGAATGTCCAGTTTTCCCAACATCATTTATTGAAGATCTATCCTTTCTCTATTGCCTGTTCTTGACTCTCTTGTCAAATAATAATTGACTGTATATGTGTGGGTTTATTTCTGGGCTCTCAATTCTGTTCCATGTGTCTATGCATCTGTTTTTATGCCAATCCAATAATGTTTTGATCACTATAGCTTTCTAATATGGTTTGAAATCAGGAAGCCTGATGCCTCCAGTTGTGTACTTATTTTTCAAGATATCTTTGATATTCGGAGTCTTTTGCAGTTCCATACAAATTTTAGGATTTGTTTTTTCTATTTCTGAAAAAATGTCATTTGAATTTTTTAAAAATTTTTGTGTGTGTGTGTGAGGAAGATCGGCCCTGAGCTAACATCTGCCAATCCTCCTCTTTTTGCTGAGGAAGACTGGCCCTGGGGTAACATCCATGCCCATCTTCCTCCACTTTATATGGGACGCTGCCACAGCATGGCTTGCCAAGTGGTGTGTCAGTGCACACCAGGGATCCGAACTGGCGAACCCCGAGCTGCTGCAGCGGAGCACTTGCACTTAACCGCTTGCGCCACTGGGCCAGCCCACCATTTGAATTTTGATAGGGATTGCATTGAATCTACGGATTGCTTTGGACAGTATTGACATTTTAACAATATTAATTTTTCCAATCCATGAACATGAGATATCTTTCCATTTATTTTTGTTTCTTCAATTTCTTTTATCATGGTCTTATTGTTTTCAATATACAAATCTTTTGCCTCCCAGCTTAAATTTACTCCTAAGTATTTTTTTATTGTTTTTGATGATATTGTACATGGGATGTTTTCTTCATTTCTTGTTCAGATATTTTATTGTTAGTCATTAGAAATACAATTGATTTTTGTATGTTGATTTTGTATTTTGCAACTTTAGTGAATTCATTGATGTATTCTAAGAGTTTTCTTGTGTAGTCTTTAGGGTTTTCTATATATAAGATCTTGTTGTCTACAAAAGGGAGAAAATTTTACATTTTCATTTCCAATTTGGATGCCTTCTATTTCTTTTTCTTGCTAAATTGCTCTGGCTAGAACTTCCACTACTATTTTGAATAGGAGTGGTGAAAGTTGGCACTCCTGACTTGTTCCTGATCTTTCACCATTGAGTATGTTTTTTGTGTGTTTGTCACATATGGACTTTATTACGTTGAGATATGATTCTTCTATGTCTGATTTGTTGCGAGTTTTTATCACGAAAAGGTGTTGAATTTTGTCAAATGGTTTTTGCATCTATTGAGAGGCTCATATAATTTTTATCCTTATTGCTGTTAATATGGTGTTATCATATTTATTGGTTTGTGTCTATCCTCGCACTCCAGTGGCAAATCCCATTTGATCATGGTTAGTGTATGATCCTTTTAATGTGCTGTTGAATTCAGTTTGCTAATATTTTATTGAGAATATTTTCATCTATATTCACCAGAGATAATGGCCTGCAGATTTTTTTTACTTTTGGTGTCCTACTCTGTCTTTAGTATCAGAATAATGTTGTCCTTGTAAAATGAGATTAGGAGTGTTTCCTCCTCTTCAATTTTTTGGCAGAGTATGAGAAACATTTATGTTAATTCTCTCTTTAAAGGTTTGGTAGAATTCACCAATGAAACCATCTGGTTCTGGGCTTTTTGTTGGGAAGTTTTGATTACTGGTCCAATCTCCTTGATCGTTATTGATCTGTTCAGATTTTCTATTTCTTCATGATTCAGTCTTGGTATATTGTGTGTTTCTATAAATATATCTATTTCTTCTAGGTTATCCACTTTGTTGGCATGTAATTATTCATACTAGTCTCTTACAGTCCTTTAAATTTCTATAGTGTCAGTGTAATGGCTCTTTTCATTTCTGATATGCTTGAGTCCTATCTCTTTTTTTTGTCTTTAGTCTAACTAAAAGTTCATCAGTTTTATCTTTTCCAAAAACCGACTCTTAGGTTTATTGATTTTTTTCTATTGCTTTTCTGTTCTCCATTTAGTTATGTTCAAATCTTTCTTATTTCCTTCCTTCTGCTAATTTTAGGCTTAGCTTATCACTTTTCTTTCTAATTCCTTGAAGTATAAAGTTAGCTTATTTATTTGATATCTTTCTTTTTTCTTAATGTAGTCATTTACTGTCACATACTTCCATTAGGAGTGCCTCTGCTGCATCCCATAAGTTTTGCTATGTTGTTTTTTGCTTTCAATTTTTTGAAGTATTTTATAAATTCCATTGTGATTTCTTCCTTGACCTACTAGTTGTTCATGAATGTGTTGTTTAATTTCCACAATTTGAGAAGTATCCTTATTACCTCCTATTACTGGTTTCTAATTTTATACCATTGTGGTTGTAAAAGGTATTTGATATGTTTTCAATGCTTTAATTCCATTCTCTATGTCTTTTGTGTCTGTACTATAAATGTTTTTCTTTGTAGTTACCATGAGGCTTACATAATGCAGCTCTTAGTTACAACAGTCTATTTTAAGCTGATACCAACTTACCTTCAATGGAATACAAAAGCTCTATTCTTTTACTTCTTCTCTCCCCATATTTTATGCTACTAATGTCAACTGTACATCTTTTTATATTGTACATTCATTTATAAATTATTGCACCTATAGTTATTTTTAATACTATTGTCTTTTGACTTTTATATTAGAGATAAAGGTGATATACACACCACCAATAGTATTAGGGTATTTTGCATTTAACTATATATTTACCTTTACCAGTGAGATTCACACTTTTATATATTTTCATGTTGTTACTTAGCATCCTTTCATTTCAACTTGAAGAATTCCCTTTAGCGGTTCTTGTAAGGCAGGTCTAGTTCTGATTAACTTTCTTACATTTTTTTTCTGTGGGAATATCTTTATCTCTCCTTCTTTTCTGCAGGTTAGTTTTGCTGGATATAGTCTTCTTGGTTGACAGGTTTTTTTTATCTCAGCACTTTGAATATATCATCTCACTACCTCCTGGCCTGCAACATTTCTGCAGAGAAATCCACTGATAGCCCTATGGGGTTTCCTTTGTATGTGATGAGTCATTTTCCTTTTGCTGCTTTCAAAATTCTTTCTATGTTTCTGACTCTTAACATTTTTATTATAATGTGTCTTGGGGCAGTCTTCTTTGGATTTATCTTGCCTGGGATCCTTCGAGCTTCCATACGTGGATGTTCTTATCACTCATATGATTTGGGAAGTTTTCAGGCATTATTCATTTAAATAAACCTTTGTTCCTTTCTCTCTCTCTCTTCTCTTTCACGATCTCTCATAATGTACATATTAGTTCCTTTGATGTTGTCCTATACATTACATAGGCTTTCTTCAAACTTTTTTAATTCTTTTTTCTTTTTGCTCCTCTAACTTGCTAGTTTCAAATTACTTGTCTTCATGTTCATTGATTCTTTCTTATGCATGATTGAGCCTGCTGTTGAAGCTCTGAATTGACTTTTTCAATTCCAGTCTTTACAGTCTGGTTTCAGCTGGTAAATAACTTCTGCTGTTGGTTCCTCAAGCTTATGGGATTATTTCTGGAATCACAGTTGTGTGGGATGGAGTCTAGTTATGAGCCCGTTTCTGGGTCTGCTGTGGGTTCTGGGCTGGTGGGCTTGTTAACAGGGCCTCACGCAGGCATGCATTCCCAAGTGGATAGGACCACCTCCATTCAGTATGATGATGTTGGGACAACGGTCTGCTTTAGAGTCCAAAGCTGGTTCCTCTGAAAGCAGACTTCTTGTCAGGTATGTGGGTGGGTGTGGGTCCTGGGAGATCCCTGGGAGGGCTCCTGCTGGGTCACTGAGTTTTTCCCTGGGTGAGAAGGTCTGGCTTTGAACTGTAGCTGAGAGAGGCTGGAAATGTGTACCAGGGCTGCTTTGGGTCTACAAACATGATTGAGGTATGCAGATGTAGTTCTGTAGGCATGGATGTGCGTGTCCCCCTCCAGGTCTCTTGGCAGGCTGATCTGTTCCTTGGCCATAGCTGGAGCAGTTGAAACCTATTATAGTGTCCTTTCAGGATCTCTGGGGGGCACAAATGGGTTGTCTCTTGCTGGGTCCCAGGGCAGGCTGAACTGCTCCCTTACCACAGCTAGAGAGACTGGAGCTGAGTATAGACCCCTTTCAGGATCTCTGTGGACAGAGGCAGGAGTGTCTTCTGCTGGGTCCCTGTGCTGGCAGGACTGGGATGGGAGGAGTTGTAGCCAATTTATGGGGCCCGTTCATGATCTATAGTCAGATCTACTTTGATGGGCTTACCTCCATGGTCTTCTGGTTTGCAACCAAGAGGTACTAGATCCGGTTCATGGGCCACTTCAGGATTCACAAACAGGACTAAGCTCTTTGTGCCAACCACTTAAGGCATGGGTGAGCATGGCTGTCACCAGATCCTGTGGAATATCGTGATGGTGGCATGATCAAAGCCAAATGGGGCTGTAACAAGGTCCTTGAGGTATGGAGCTGTTTCTGGGTCTATAACTGTGACCATGGTTAGTCAGTCAGCATCCTGGGTGTGGAACTACCTTTTCAAAATGGATCTCCTTGATTGTGGACTCCACCAGCGTTTCACATTCTCCTACCTTGATCTCAAACTTCACATGAAGACACTTTTTTCTGGATGGCTGCCAAATTATTGTTGCAGAAGTATCATGTGAACAGGGGACCTCTTATTCCATCATCTTATTGATATCACTTCCCCCTATGTTATTAATGTATGCCCATTCACAATCATTTCTCTTCTGCACCTTCTAAAGAAAGAGGAGTGTTATTATTTTCTGGGTTAGCTCTCAGACTTTCTCTCTTTTGTACATAGTGCAGTTTAAAAAATAAAGAACATAGAGTCCAAAGAGGTCATACTTGGCTTCATAATGATAAGCTCATAAAGGAGATAAAAAAGATGAGAGAAGAAAGATTTTCTTGGTTGAGTGTCACATAGAGTTACTCATGGGAGGTATGTGATAGTGACAGAAATTGTGTCTAGGAATAGCTCCAGTCTGTAGGTAAATGAGATTAGTGATTGTAAGGAATGAGCATTAAGTGTTAGAAATCATGGCTCTGTTAGAAAACACAAAATAAAGATTTGAAGTATTATTTATTACTTATTTTTTCATTTTTAAAAATTAAATTTTTACATATTGAAGGTGTACAAATTGGTGTTTGGATGTAAATATCCATAGTTAAATGATTACTGTAGTCAAGCTAAATAACATCCATAGCCTCACATTCTTATCTTTTTTTGTATGTGTGGTGAGAGCACCTGAAATCTACTCTTAACAAATTTCCAGTAAATAATACACTATTATTATCTATAGTCATCCTACCGTACATTGTCTCTAGAACTTATTCATTCTACATACTGTCACTTTGTACCCTTTGACCTACATGTCCCCATTTCCCTATTATTTCATATTTCCAACTTGGGTTTATGTACAATATATATTTTTCTTAGTGTTAATAATACATTCTGAGTGTTATTGTTTTCCCCTAGCAAGAGCAAAATTCCTGCAAGGCATTACCAGATTTTATTCTTTTTCTGGTTTATACTACATCGCTTTCTAAGTAACATAAGAGCAAAGGTAATTTAATTCTATGGTCCTGAAATCATTAGCCTCATGTCTTATTCAAAGCACAGACAACCGAATATCTTATACATGTCAAACTATAGTCATTTCTTCATTTCCTTTTGTCTTGAGTTGTATGAAATGAGCAGCAGCATCACTCATTAAATTTCTCCCAGGTCCTCTCCCAAAGGAAGCCAATTACATTTTGACATGCATATTTAAGAAAATATATGTGTTTAGATGTTCTTATGTATCTATACATATATGTGTACACAAGTATATGTTCATAAATATGTATATTATGTAAATGTACACATACATGTGGGATTAAGAGTGGTTCTTTATAAAGTTGAGCTCATAAAGCACTTATTATTCTACAACTTCCTGATTTTCTTCTAAACTATATGCTAGGATAACCTCTAAGGTAATGGACACTTTGGCAAATGACTCAAAGGAGAGCTTACAGAAGATGAAATGGAAATGGCTATTAAACATGTGAAATCAGATTAAAAATAAGAAAAATATAAATTAAAACTAGGTTGCATACATTTTAAACCATCTTGATTGGAAATGAAAATATGTTAATTGTTGTCATAGACCTGAGAAAACATACAGTCTCATACATTGATATAATATCACCTTCTCAATGAAGCGAACCTCAACATCTTATCAAAATTTATAATCTTCCTTCGATTTCTACCTTCCCATTGTTCAGCTTCTGATTCCCCTTACATTAGTTTTGTTACTGTGCATGTTTTATAGTACTTAAAATTTCTCATAAACCCATGAGGTAGAAGGTATTTGTATCAATACCCATTACTGATATAACAAATTACCACAAACTTGGTGGCTTAAAACAATACAAATTTATTAACTTACAGTTCTGGAGTTCAAAAGTCTAATATCAGTTTCACTGGGCTAAATTCAAGGTGTCAGAGGGTTAGTTCCTTCTGGAGGTTCTAGGATAGAATCCATTTCTCTTTCTTTTCAGCTTCCAGATTCTGTCAGCTTTCCCCAGCTGATGGATCCTTCTTTGCAGCAGTCCATCTTTTTGTTTCAGTTATAACATCTCTGACTATTCTTTCTTATCCTCTTATCTCTCTCCTATAAGGATCATTGTGATCACATTGGGCCCACTTGGATGATCCAGGACAATCCACCTATGTCACTACCCTTAACATAATCACATCCACAATGTCTATTTTATTATGTAGAGTAACATATTCAGAAGTTCCAAGGATTAGGATGTAGATGTCTTTGTTGAGGGAAGTGAGTTATTGATTCTTCCTACTACAGTTTCATTATACCCATTTTACCACCAAACTACTGTGGTGATGCTCTGTTACGTATCTTGTTTCTTGTTAAAGGTCACAAAGTCTTAAGTGGCAGACCCAAGAGATGAACCAGGGCAATCTGGCTGGAAAGTAGAGGTTCCTAACCATTTTGCTATTAACTCTTATTGTGTTTATTTTCCTCCACCACAATACACATTTCACAGTCTTCCCCAGTTGCCTGTCATAGGATTAGTACTTGGTGGACATTAGCTCAGTGATCTCTGTGGTCTGGGTAGACAAAATGACCAAGTGTCTGCAAGAGCCACAATGGAAATACTTCATCCTGCCAGGGATCTTTACTTGTGGCAAACTTGAGGAAATGCTGAAAAATTTCATGGCAGAATCCACTAATGAGACACAAAATCTCACTGTCCCTAGATATCACTGGGAGATAGTAGAGGGTTCTTTGATAGTTCAGGTGTTCTTAGCTCTTGCTTTCAGGTGGAATTTTTCAGGCTACTAAAGAAAGGCTTTCTTTACACAGAAACAAGGAACTTGCCAGAAGCAATTCAGCACCAGCTGCAGCAAAATATAACACCCTCAACAAGTTTCATACTGGAGTGTAGGATGACACAAAAGTTGGAGTGGTTTATGACCTAGACACGTCCACTCCTGTGCTAAGGAACATTATATGCACTGTAGCAAACACCATTGAAAAAATTTCACAGTATTCAGAGCAGGAACAGTTGATGTCTACTCTTGCAAGAAAGATCCAGGGTGTGAAAGGTGAAACCAATTCCATCAAAACAAAAATAGAAGGTAAAATTCAACTAAAACTATTATGGGCAACTGAAAAAAAAAGCTTAGGGTCTTCACAGTGAGCTCTAGATCCTGAGTGGAGAATGAAGTCAAGTATCTATAGGTCACTGGCTAAAGAACAAAGTCCTGGAAGCTTCCCTGGGGTAGGAGAACACAGGTGATAACATGGAATCCAGGGATGGAGAGATTGTTGATGACCTACCAAAAGCATGCAGGAAAACACAGAGATACAGCTCTTTGTTGGAAGAAGAAACAGAGTTTGGATGCATGGAAGTGGAGAAGAGGAATAGCTTGACTTTGCTGGCATCACTCTTTCCCCAAAGTGGCAGAGCTTAAGGCTAAATTTGATGGCCCGTAATTTCTCCCACAGGGAAAGGGAGAGAGGGTGAGGGAATGCCCAGCTTCCCCAGCTGTGCAGGATGCTGCCAAAGACACTCCTTTTTTCTCTTGCAGCATCCAGAGTATTAAACTGGGAGTTCCGTGACTGGGAGGTAGGGAGCAGATAAGGCATATAAGATTCCCAGAGGGCGATAAGGAGGTGTAGTTCTTGTTAACTGCATACTGAACACCAACAGGAAGTTTGTCCATGAGCTGGGGAAAACCAGTGATTGGCCCATGGATATCTCTAGTATGCTCCATGCCAAACTCACACCACCCCATTCGGCAGCTGTCCCCCTGTTCATGCTCCCCAGGGTGGCAGTGAGAGTGAGATCTTGTAGAAGTCTCAATATCATGCTCAGAAATCAAGCCAGTGTCTGTGGGAAAAGGAGAAAATACAAACTTCAGCTGCATTACCACCTTCAGGAAAACAAAACAACTTCTATCAACAGCCAACCTGGTGCACTGTAGGATTGAGAGAAGACATATAAGCTTAAGAATAATGCCACAAAAAGGAGCAACAAGCAAGGAGCAGGTGTCTCCCTACAAAGTTTGTGAAAGCCTCGGAATCTTAGCAGACTGACAAGAGGTATTTATACTTTGGGAGTAATTAATTTAGAGGAGGTACATGGTACTTCAAATGCAAAAACAATAATGAAAAACTCCAAGGAACACGAAAAATCAAGGAAACATGATATTACCAACAATAATCTTCCAGTAATAAAACCCAAAGACATGGATATCTATGATTTACCCAGTAGGGAATTCAAAATAGCTATTTTAAGAAAACTCAGTGAGCTACGATAAAACACAGAAAGACAATTCAACAAAGTCAGGAAAACCATATAGGATCAAAATTATAAATTAAACAGATAGAAATCATTAAAAAACAAACAGAAACATTGGAGCTGAAGAATTCAATGAATAAAATGAAAAATTCAACAGAGAACATTCCTAGCAGAAGAGACAAACAGAAAAAAAAATCATTGCAATAGAGGATAGGAAGACTGAAATAATCCAGTTGGGGGGAAAAGTAAAAGAAAAAAAGAATGAAAAAGAGTGAAGAAACACTATGTGATCTATGGGACACAATAAAAGAAATAAAATCTATGTCATTAAAGTTCTAGAATGAAAAGAGAGGGAGTGGGGCAGGAAGCTTATTTAAAGAAATAGTGGATGAAAATTTTCCAAAACTGGCGAGAGATGTGGACATCCAAGATCATGAAGCTAATAGATCACACCAATTTTTCAATCCAAAACAATCTTCTCCAACATATAATAAAGCAGTCAAAAATCAAAACAAATAGAGAATCCTAAAGGCAGCAAGAGAAGAGAAGATTATAACCTAAAAACAACCCTCAATAGGGTATCAGTGAATTTCTAGCAGAAACTTTACAGGCCAGGAGAAAAGGTGGTGATATTTTGAAAGTGCGAAAAAAAAAAAATACCACCAAGAATATTCTATCCAGCAAAGCTATCTTTCATAAATGAAGGAGAAATAAAGACTTTCCCAGATAAACAAAAGCTGAGGAAATTCATCACCACCAGACCTGCATTACAAGAAATGCTGAAAGGAGTTCTTTAACTTGAAATGGAAGGATGCTAACCAGTAATGTAAAAACATATGAAAATATACAGAACATTGGTAAAGGTAAATATATAGTCAAATTCAGATAACTCTAACACTGTAATATGGTAGTGTGTTAACCGCTTAACTATAATATAAAGCTTAAAGGACAAGAGTATCAAAAACAACTATAGCTACTATAATTTATTAAAGAATACACAATATAAAAAGAGGTAAATAGTGACATTAAAAACATAAAAGAAGGGAGTAAAAGGGTACAGCTTTTGTATGCAATCAAAGTAAAGTTGTTATCAGCCTAAAAATACTATTATATCTGCAAGATATTTTATGTAGGTTTCATGGTAAGTGCAAAGCAAAAACCTATAGTAAATTCATAAAAGATAAAGAAAAGGGAATCAGAGCACATCACCATGGAAAATCATTACTTTGGAAAGGAAGGCAGCAAGAGAGTCAAAAAGTAACAAGGAAATTACAAAACAATAAGAAAGCAATTAATATGATGGAATTAGTAAGTCCTTCCATATTTATAATTATGCTAAAGTTAAATGTATTGAATTTGCCAAACAAACTGCACAGAATGGCTAAATGGATTAAACAAAAACAAGACCCAAGTATATGCTACCTATAGGAGACTCACTTCAGCTTTAAGTACACACATAGGCTCAAAGTGAAGAGATGGAAAAAGATATTCCATACAAGTAGGAACCAAAAGAGAGCAGGGATTGTTACACTTCTATCAGACAGAACAGACATTAAGCCAAAAATGGTAACAAGAGACAAATGAGGTCATTATATAATGATAAAGGCATAAATTCATCAAGAAGATATAACATTATAACAAGAAAAAAAATTGTAACTATAGTTGGTGATGGGTGTTAACTAGTCTTCCTGTGGTGACATTTTATAGTATATGCAAATATTAAATCATTATGTTGTACATCTGAAACTAATATAATGTTATACGTCAATTATATCTCAATAAAAAAAGAAGATATAACAATCATAAATATATACTCACCCAACATTTGACCAGCAACATATATTAAACAAATACTAACAGATCTGAAGAGAGAAATAAATAACGGTACAATAATGGAACAGGACTTCGATACTCCACTTTCAGCAATGGATAGATCATACAGCCTGAAAATCACAAGGAAACATTGAACTTGAAAGATACTTTAGACTAACTGGACCTAAGAGAAATATAAGAAATTCCAGCAACCAGTAGCAGAATACACATTTTTCTCAAGCATGCACAGAATGTTTTTCAGGATAGATCATATGATAGGCCACAAAATGAGTCTTAGCCAATTTAAGAAGATTTAAATCATATCAAGTATCTTTTCTGACCACAATAGTATGAAACAAGAAATTAACAACAAGAAGAAACCTGAAAAGTCTACGAATAATTGTAAATTAAACAACATACTTCTGAATAACCAAAGGGTCAAAAGGAAATCGAAAAGAAAATTTTAAAAAATCCAAAACAAACGAAAATGGAAACACAACATACCAATAGCTATGGGATACCGCAAAAGCTGTTCTAAAAGGAAAGTTTCTAGAGATAAATTCTGATATTAAGAAAAAAGAAAGATCTCAAACAACCTAACTTCACACCTCAAAAACTAGAAAAAGAAAAACAAACTGAGACCAAAGTTAGCAGAAGGAAGGAGAAAACAAAGATCAGAGCAGAAAGAAATGAGATAGAGAACAGAAAAACAATAGAAAAGATCAATGAAACTAAGAACAGGTTTTTTGAAAAGATAAACAAAATTGACAAACCTTTAGCTAGACTAAGAAAAAGAGAGAGAAGACTCAAACAAATAAAATCAGAAATGAAAGACAAGAGATTACAACTGATACAAAATAAATACATAGGGAGAGAATTCAGGAGGTGGTGTAGGCAGACTCTGAACTCACCTCCTCCCACAAACACAGCCAATTTACAAAAACTCATGGAAAAATTAACCCTGAGAGAGAACTGAAAACTGGATAAGAGGAACTCCTGCAACAAACCTCACTCTTAATTGAGTTGGAAGATGCAGAAATTCCATTCTGGAGAGAAAAAACACCACCTTCACAAGCTGCAGTTTTTCACGGCCACCAGGGAGCAGCCCAAAGGTACACAGCCTTCCTTGGGGGAGTGGGGCCCTGAGCAGGGGAGCGATCCTGTTGTAGGCATTTTTTGGACCCAGCACAATCGAGATGAGTGGCATTTGCTTGCTACTAAAACATTGGGGAGTAGCCCCAGAAAAGCTGGTTGACAAAGAAATGAAAACCAGCTCTTAAAGGACCCATGCACAAATTCACCCACGTCTGAAAGCAACCTAAAACCACCAGAAAGAAAGGTGCACAGTGCTTTGGTGAAAAGATACTCACTTGATAGTTTCTGAGTGCATCTCGGTGAGAGGTGAGGGGGACATTGGCGGCAGCCATTGTTGTGGCCTGCTGTGGGTTTGCTGACACAGACGCTGGAAGATGCCACTGAAGTTCTCTCTGGGGTCTGCCAGCCCAGGGCCTACCCCACCCACTAGAGCACCAATTTAATCCAGCTCAGCCAGGGCAGGCAGCCCACCGTAGGGACTGGACCCCACCCAACAACAAGCCCTTGGGCAACTTGTGGGCCCGCTAAGTGAGCTGCCTGGATTCTCCACAGCCTGGAAAATGGGTCCACCTTTGTGGGGCACAGCCAGCACAAGGAGCAGGTGAAGAGTGTGGGGACTTGGTGAAGTGAGTGGGGGTCCTGCCTTGGAGAGACTGGGTCCACTGCAGGAGGTCATGACATGTGCATGGGGCAGGACTGTGTTGACTGTGTGTGTTGTACTGTGGGAGGTGGGGCTTGTCAGCTACAGAAGACTTGTGCTTTACAAAGAGCCACATAGGGGGTTTCCGCACCTTCCAAAGCCTGAAACAATTGGGTCCTCCCATGCCTGAGGCCAGCCCCACACAGCTGAAATCCTCAGAGAGCTGACAAGAGACCTAAAGGCTGGAGGCTTATAGCAATTGTAAGCCCTTGAGCCTAACAACCTGTCCACTGGGGGCCTACTCAATTAAAAGAAATACTGCAACACAAACGTGGTATTAGAACTTGCAGCCAACTGGGCTGGGGCTCCCCACACCTGATAAAGAGACTGAAGGGCACACAACAACTACAAGCAGCTGAGCATTACAACAGCTGGCCAGGGGCATAGCTCAGACTCCCTGGACACCTACACAGAAAGCAACCACGCCACAACAGAAGGACACACGTAGCCCACATAGGGGTCACTTCTGGAACAATCAGAACTGAGGGAAGCACACGGCAGGCATCCTAAGGCGTCACTTATATAAGGTCACCAATCCAAGAGCAGGAGACGTAGCTGACCTTCCTAATACGTAAACACAAGCACAGGGAAAGAGGCAAAATGAGGAGGCAAAGGAATACATTCCAAGTAAGGGAACAGGACAAAACCCAAGAAAAGGAACTAAGTGAACCAGAAATGAGCAACATACATTACAGCGAGTTCAAACAAAGAGTGTTAAGGATGTTCACTGATCTTGGGACAAGAATGGATGAACTCAGTGTGAATGTCAACAAAGAAATGGAAGATATAAAAAAGAACCAATCAGAAATGAAGAATACAATACTGGAAATGAAAAATTCACTAGAGGGACTCAAAAGCAGAGTAGAAGATACAGAAGAACAGATCTGCCAACTGGATGAAAGACTAGAAGAAATCACCCAAGCTGAACATGTAAAGGAAAAGAGAATTGAAAAGAGTGAGGAACGTCTAAGAGACCGCTGGGACAACATCAAGTGCACTAACATCAGCATTATAGGTGTCCCAGAAGGAGAAGAGTGAGACAAAGGGGCAGAGAATCTATTTGAAGAAATAATAGATGAAAACTTCCCTAACCTAAGGAAGGAAAGAGACATCCAGGTACAGGAAGCACAGAGAGTACCAAACAAGATAAACCCAAAGAGGCCCACACCAAGACAAATCATAATCAAAATGTCCAGAATTAAATATAAAGAGAGAATCCTAACAGCCGCAAGAGAAAGACAAGTTACATGCAAAGGAAACTCCATACGGCTTTCAGCTGACTTCTCAGCAGAAATCTTACAGGCTAGAAGAGAGTGGCATGATACATTTAAAGTGCTAAAAGGAAAAACCTGCAGCCAGAATACTGTACCTGGCAAGGTTATCATTCAAAATGGAAGGATAGATAAAAAGTTCCCTAGACAAGCAAAAATTAAAGGAGTTTGTAACCAAGAAACCAGTACTACAAGAAATGCAAAAGGGACTTATTTAAGGGGGAAAGAGAAGACCACAAATAGAAAAAACGTTATCTATTTCCATGATAAGAGAGTGAGGTATACACAAACACAAAGAAAAAATGTTAGATATGATATCAAAAGCATAAAAATTGGGAGGAGGTGAGTAAAAGAGTAGGGCTTTTAGAAAGAGGTCAAACTAAAGAGACCATCAAGTTAATATAGATTGCTTTATAGCTATGTTATTATTTAGGAACTTCATAGTAATCACAAACCAAAAACCGATAATAAATACACAAAGAACTAAGAGAAAGGAAACCAAACATAATACTAAAGAAAACCATCAAACGACAAGGGAAGAGAGCAAGAGAAGAAAAAAAGGAACAGAGAAGTACTGCTAAAACACCCAGAAAAAAATTAACAAAATGGCAATAAGTATTTATCAGTAGCTACTTTAAATGTCAATGGACTAAATGCTCCAATAAAAAGGCATAGAATGGCTGACCGGATAAAAATACAAGACCCATATCTATGCTGCATATAGAGACACACTTCAGACCTAAACACACTCACAAACTGAAAGTGAAGGGATGGAAAAAATACTCCACGCAAATGGCAATGAAAAGAAAGCTGAGGTAGCAATACTCATATCAGACAAAATAGACTTTAAAACAAAAACTGTAAAAAGAGACAAAGAAGGGCATTACATAATGATCAAAGGAATAATCCAACAAGAGGATATAACACTTGTAAATATCTATGCATCCAAGGTAGGAGCACGTAAATATATGTCAATTATTAACAGACATAAAAAGAGAAATAGATAGTAACACAATAATAGTAGGGGACTTTAACACTCCACTTACACCAATGGATAGATCATCCAAACAGAAGATCTATAAGGAAACATTGGCCTTAAATGACACACTAGAACAGATGGAACTAGTAGATATATATAGAACATTCCATCCAAAAACCAAAGAATACACGTTCTTTTCAAATGCAGATGGAACATTCTCCACGATTGATCACATATTAGGCCACAAAACAAGTCTCCATATATTTAAGAAGATTGAAATAATACCATCTTTTCTGACCACAATGGTATGAAACTAGAAATCAACTATAGGAAGAAAATCAGAAAAGCCAAAAATATGTGGAGACTAAACAAAATGCTACTGAACAATGACTGGTCAATGAAGAAATAAAAGGAGAAATCAAAAATACCTGGAGACAAATGAAAATGAAAATATGACATGCCAGAATTTATGGATAAAGCAAAAGCGGTTCTAAGAAAGAAGTTTATGACAATACAGGCCTATTTCAACAAACAAGAAAAATCTAAAATAAACAATCTAACAATGCACCTAAAGGAACTGGGAAAAGAATAAACAAAGCCGAAAATCAGTAGAAGAAGAGAAATAATAAAAATCAGAGCAGAAATAAATGAAATAAAGACTTTAAAAACAATAGAAAAAATTAATAAAACCAAGAGCTGGTTCTTTGAATAGATAAACATAATTGACAAACCTCTAGGTAGACTCACCAAGAAAAAAGAGAGAAGGCTCAAATAAGTAAAATCAGAAATGAAAGAGGAGAAATTACAACACAGACCTCAGAAATACAAAGATTATAAGAGAATACTATGAAAAGCTATATGCCAACAAATGGGACAATCTGGAAGAAATGGATAAATTGTTAGAATCATACAACCTTCCAAAACTGGACCAAGGAGAAATAGAGAATTTGAATAGACCAATCAACAGTAAGGAGATCAAAACAGTAATCAAAAACCTCCCCAAATGGCTGGATTTCATCGGTTCTTATGGCTGAGTAGTATTCCAGCCACAAAAAACGATGAAATCCAGCCATTTGTGACAACATGGGTGGACATTTCGGGTATTATGCAAAGCAAAATAAGTCAGAGGGAGAAGGTCAAATACCGTATGATTTCCTTCATTAAGTAGTAGATAATAACAACAATAAACAAACACATAGAGACAGAGATTGGATTGGTGGTTACCAGAGGGGAAGGGGGTGGGGGGAGGGCAAAAGGGATAATTCGGCACATGTGTGTGGTGATGGGTTGTAATTAGTATTTGGGTGGTGAACATGATGTAATCTATGCAGAAATAGAAGTATAATGATGTACACCTGATATTTATACAATGTTATAAACCAATGTTACTAGAATAAATAAAAAATTAAAAAAAAAACAAAACAAAAAAAACCTCCCCAAAAATAAAAGTCCAGGACCAGACGGCTTCCCTGGTGACTTCTACCAAACATTCAAAGAAGACTTAATACCTATCCTTCTCAAACTCTTCCAAAACATTGAGGAGAGGAGGAAGCTCCCTAACTCATTCTGTGAAGCCGACATTACTCTGATACCAAAACCAGACAAGAGCAACAGACACAAAAAAAATTACAGGCCAATATCACTGATGAATATCGACACAAAAATCCTCAACAAAATACTAGCAAATTGCAAACAACAATAATTAAGAAGGTTATACACCATGATCAAGTGGGATTTATTCCAGGGATGCAGGGATGGTTCAACATCTGCAAATAAATAAACGTGATACACCACATTAATAAAATGACGAATAAAAATCACATGATCATCTCAATAGTTGCAGAGCATTTGACAAGATACAGCATCCATTTATGATAAAAACTCTGAATAAAATGGGTATAGAAGTAAAGTAATAAAGGCCATATGTGACAAACCCACAGCTAATATCATCCTCAGTGGTGAAAAACTGAAAGCTAACCCTCTAAGAACAGGAATGAGACAAGGATGTCCACTCTCTCCACTCCTATTTAACATAGTATTGGAAGTCCTAGCCAGAGCAATCAAGCAAGAAAAGGAAATAAAATAGATCCAAATTGGAAAGGAAGAAACTGTCACTATTTGCAGATGACAGGATTTTATATATAAAAAACCCTAAAGAATCCACCAGAAAACTTTTAGAAGTAATAAACAAACATGATAAAGTTGCAGGATACAAAATCAACGTATAAAAATCAGTTGCATTTTGGGCCGGCCCCGTGGCTTAGCGGTTAAGTGCACGCACTGCGCTACTGGCGGCCCGGGGTCAGATCCTAGGCACGCACCAAGGCACTGCTTCTCCAGCCATGCTGAGGCCGCATCCCACATGCAGCAACTAGAAGGACGTGCAACTATGGCATACAACTATCTACTGGGGCTTTGGGGGAAAAAAAAAAGGAGGAGGATTGGCAATAGATGTTAGCTGAGAGCCGGTCTTCCTCAGCAAAAAGAGGAGGATTAGCATGGATGTTAATTCAGGGCTGATCTTCCTCACACACACAAAAAAAAATCAGTTATGTACTAACAACAAAGTAGCCAAAAGAGAAATTAAGAATACAATCCCATTTACAGTTGCAACAAAAAGAATAAAATACCTAGGAATAAACTTAACCAGAGAGGTGAAAGATCTGTACACTGAAAACTAAAAAACATTGCTGAAAGAACTGGAAGAAAACACAAAGAAACGGAAAGATATTCCATGCTTTTGGATTGGAAGAATTAACATAGTTAAGATGTCCATACTTCCTAAAGCAATCTATAGATTCAATGCAATCCCTATCAAAGTTCCAACAACATTTTTCACAGAAATA